TATTCAATAAGATGAGAAACATTGGTCTCGGGAAAATCATATAGTTACGGAAACTTTAAATTGCCTGGAAACCATTCCATTGGTTGACTGAAGCATTCTGATACAAAACTGGATAGACAACGGGTTTGAGGCGCCCATGGTTAAAACGACACGAAGTCACATGTCATTCTAGTGGGTTTGAACAGGCTGTTGATCAATAGATACTCAATTAAGAAAAGCTGTGTCTGTTTTCTGTTAGAACAAATGTGCCTTAACAGTCATGACTGCAACAGGATTGAATAGCCTCCATCGTAGAAACGGGATCCAATATAAGTAACACAAACACATATATATATATATATATATATATATATATATATATATATAATTTTATATATGTAATTTGTTAATTTATAATTATTAATGTTATTTTTAAACATGACCGTTCAAATTTAATAATCTTTTTTTGTTTTTTTTTTTTTGCAAACCCCAAAAATTTTTTTTTATATTTGGGACTAAGGTGTTAAAATAAATTCTTGAAGGCATCCTAATTAAAAACCAAATACCCAACATAAATAAAATAGCAGTTAATACTGGCAGAAACATATTTAATAACTAATCCTCCAAATGATAAACGCCAACCTCCCTCTTTATTAATAATGAAATAATCCAACGACATTGTCTAAATAACCAAAATATTATCTATAAACCTAAAATAATAAACAACCTATTTCAAATCAAAACACAGACATTTCAACAAATTTCTTATTTCAAAAAATTATATATATATATATATATATATATATATATATTGCGCACACACACACTTGAACACACACATATACATACACAAGTATATGATTGGTGAATACGGAATAAATTCCAATAACCAACAATTACTATTCTTAAAAGATTGCTCAAATAGTAAATATAGAAATTTCTATAATTATTTATTTAAAAATTATAAAATATGTTAAAAAATCACTAGAAAAAATAGCCATTTTGTTTCCTTTTACCTCTATATGTCTTATCAAACTATGATGTTGAATTTTAGATTATATATATATATATATATATATATATGAAAAAAAATTATTTTCAAAATGTTTGTAAACTTTAATTGATATTATATATATATATATATATATATATATATATTAATATATATATACACAATCCATTTTCTGAAGTCGTTTTATTATTTCCCTATTTTATCAAAATCTACCGATTAGTGAATAAAACTAGCGATGCTTATAGAACATGTGTTATAGAAACATTTGGTCTTTGCTACTTATTCTAATCACTGTACACATGGAGGGCGATAAACCGGTTAAGCTGCTTTTTTTGTGTTTTGCATTGCGGTATTTTATCTTTGTTTTATGTACTTGGAACAGTCTCTTTTCAAATCTGATCCGTGGGGGAGGCGACAGCGTATACGCAAACTAAAAATGTAATATAAATATTATTATATTACAAAACACTAACACTCTGAAAATTAAAGTCATTTAACCACATGATCAAAAATAAATGGACACTACTTAAACAGATTGGTCCACCCGCAAACAGTAAGGAGCATATTTTCGAGCAATAATTTTTGGAGATTAACTTCCCTCAATCCATGACATTTTTCAGGATCGAAAAATATCAATTTTCTTTTCTGAAAGAAAACACCTGTCTACGAATTGCATCAAAAATCGATCCCTTAATTTTTGAGTTATTGGACCTACGTGTTATTTTCAAATGTAAAGTTTGAATCTGTGCTTCTATTATTTACATATTTTTCTCAATTTTGAATTCTTGAAACTTTTGTTTTAAAAAATATTATGGGTGGCGAGGTTTTTTTTCGAAAGTAGTTTTTCGGAAAATAATTTTAAATAAAGAATAAATTTATAAATGTTACTATTATTTTGTGCATTTTGTTTGGTTTGTTTTACGGCATATCAATGGGGTATTTAATGCAGACAAGATTTTTTTTATTCTTGGTAATATTTTTTTAAAAGTGTATTACTGCTATTTAAACCTATTTTTACACTTTCATAGTGCTTTGACGCTAGTTTGGTGGTTAACTATTTGCCCATAGCTGGGAGCCTAATAGGCACTACCATCATGGGTCAGGGTGGAGCTGGGAACAGTAGCAATTAAGAGGTGGTTCTACGTTACTCAAAACCTCCTGATTGCTGTTGGATGTATTTTATCGTCTTACCATGATTGTTTTGAAATTCAATTCTGTGTATCCATTTGGTCTTTATATAAAAGAAATTAAAAAAAATGTTTATCTTCGTGTGCAAATTAAGATCACATAATTCTGCAACACGCCGGAGATCGATTTTACACTAAACCAATATTGTAAACATGGCATCATTTCTAAAATTATTAAAAAATTAATATCAGTCTATATTTTTGACATGAGATATTGCAATTATTTACATTATTCGGACTGCTGTCCTCATCCTCTTTCTCGCATTCACGACATTTCGGCCGTTCTACGCTACAGACTTCTTCAGGTGATCGGAATTTCGAACTGAACCTGTTATTCCGTCCACCGGAGTAGATTTTTCTAGTTTCATGTGCCATGCCTCTTCCGGATGTCTCAGTTATCTCCCTTTAACTCAATTCCCCAAGTTTTTGTACCCCACTATAGTAGCCAGCTATGGAAGTCACAACTTTCTGGGTAGAGTCACTAGATCTAACAAACGCTTTTTATCCACTGGGCCATGTGGGTTCATTTTGAAATTTCAATCAGCTGATGAAGGCCGGAGCGTAGAACGTCCGAAACTTCATGCATATGACAATAAAGATGAATACAACAGTCCGATCAATGGAAATAAAATAAATAATAGTTTTCTATTCTTAAAATGTATCCCTATTTTTTATGTATGGACCAGCATATTTAGATAGTGCCAAATAATGATAAAGACCTCTAATAATATAGTTAATTATTGATTATATGCCAGTTTGAAAAGATATATTAACAAAAAAATTCTCATTTTTTATGTGGTATCTATAAAATAACTAGATATATTGCTCAATAACTAGGGACTCAATGAGGTTACAGAGCTGTTTACATTTCTCTTTCGTCTCCGCCAGTGCGTCCCTGAAGAAGAAACCTTATGTTTGAACATCCTAAACATTAAAAGGCGAGAGAAAAATGTAAAACAAAAAGAAAGGAAAAGATGATGGATTAGTGGAACTAATAGCGCAAAGATGAATGTTTTGTCTCGAAGCTGATCGATAACATATCACAAAACATTCAGCGTCGCTCGTCAGTTGGCCAAAATGATGAGCAGTGATTCAATACAAACATCGCTTTTGACTAATGGATCCGCCGATTTGCACAGTCAGTGGAACTAAATTAATATGTCTGCAGATTAGAAGAGATTCTGATTATATCTAATGGTTTCTTTTCTTCATTTCGCGAAGCGTAAGAACACGCACAACTCTACGTCTACGCTCGCAGACATATAGTTCAATAGAAATGTTTCCTACAATGCTATGAATTAGTTGCCATAAAAGCCAAGTTATCTGATATGTGGAGGCGCGAAGTAGTGGGACGGCTATCATCAACAAAAACCGATCCCCAAAAACAGAGTTCGCTTTCTAGCCGAATCTACATGGACACAATTCTTTAGAAATTGCAGGCCCAGCAGTAGACATTCCTCACCCTGAAATGACGACGTTTACTCGTTTTTAAATTAGAATCAAACTAAAACTGAAGATATAACAGTGGGGGGGGAAGTTATGTTTATATAAATCGCGGTGTTTGGAAAGTATTGGGATATTTTCGAAGACAAAACTTCGCCATCAGAAGAAAATTGAAGTTATTTGACAGTAAATGTGAAGAGGATATTTTGCAAAGTGCTGCTCAGTAAACGGGCTTCAGTCGAACAATTCACAGGTGTCAAGATTTCGAACTTCATTGGGTCTAAGATTGTAGCAAACTACTTTCGATACGAAGGAATTTTTCCACGGGACCCAGTTGTCAGTATACCAGGACTTTAAACATCTACACGAAAAACAAGCACACCTCGGTAAAGGAAAGGCGAAACACAGTTTTTCCACCATTTGCTTCATTTAAATATTTTTCGTATGAGGCTTTGCGAAATATAGAGATTACATATATAAATATATAAAATGCACGTATTAAGAAATTTTATAATGTAATTTACCGTTGATTTTCAGGAAGAGATACTAAGCGTGTAGACCCCTCGTCGTGAGGCGAGGCTAAGCGTGTAGACCCCTCGTCGTGAGGCGAGGCTAAGCGTGTAGACCCATCGTCGTGAGGCGAGGCTAAGCGTGTAGACCCATCGTCGTGAGGCGAGTCTAAGCGTGTAGACCCATCGTCGTGAGGCGAGGCTAAGCGTGTAGACCCATCGTCGTGAGGCGAGGCTAAGCGTGTAGACCCATCGTCGTGAGGCGAGGCTAAGCGTGTAGACCCATCGTCGTGAGGCGAGGGCTAAGCGTGTAGACCCATCGTCGTGAGGCGAGGCTAGGCGTGTAGACCCATCGTCGTGAGGCGAGGCTAAGCGTGTAGACCCTCGTCGTGAGGCGAGGCTGGGCCCCATCGTCGTGAGGCGAGGCTAAGCGTGTAGACCCGTCGTCGTGAGGCGAGGCTAAGCGTGTAGACCCCTCGTCGTGAGGCGAGGCTAAGCGTGTAGACCCCTCGTCGTGAGGCGAGGCTAAGCGTGTAGACCCGTCGTCGTGAGGCGAGGCTAAGCGTAGACCCCTCGTCGTGAGCGAGGCTAAGCGTGTAGACCCCTCGTCGTGAGGCGAGGCTAAGCGTGTAGACCCCTCGTCGTGAGGCGAGGCTAAGCGTATGAGTCGTGAGGCTAGACCCCTCGTCGTGAGGCGAGGCTAAGCGTGTAGACCCCTCGTCGTGAGGCGAGGCTAAATGTGTACTTTATAAAAGACGTACTTCAATTTTTATTTAAAAAATAAACTGTTTTAAGGTTTCGATGAAATTCATTAGTTTATTGATGAATGGATAAAAGACTTGAATTCTTAAAATAGAAAATATAACTTACTCGAGATATCTGTCTGGATAATAAGGTGATGTGATAATTTGCCAGTTATAAGGGTGAGCTGTGTATGACGTCGTCGCTGTACAGATCTTGCTACCTGGAAAGGAAAGACAAAAAAAAAAAACAATGATGAATTATTATTCACTTAGAAATACGATCTTTAAATCACAAAATAACTTTCGATATTATTGGTAAAATATCAAACGTTAAATAGTTTTCTTTTAAAACATGTTTCAATTACGAATTACTATTCCTTTATGCATCTTGTCTCTTCAAGATGTTCACGATCATGGCACTCCACAACTGCCCGTCTTGCCACTCGAAGAAATATTTGACGATTCATCATCCCTATTTTAATCTTCTTCTATTCTATCACACCAACAGACGTCGGCTCCTTGCGGTTTCCACTGTTTCTCTTTCTTTCAGTATATCCTATGAGTGTTAAATTCTCTAGGCCGCTTTTCCTTATTATGTGTCCCAGGAATTTCAACTATCTTTTTTTGTAAGTTTTCTTAAAACTTCCTCATTTCTTCCAAGTTTTGTGATATTGGATTTCGTCGCTATAACCACATCTCAGTCAATTTTTCTTTTGTACGATTATTGGAAAATAGGCTAACAGAACAAAGCATCGGTTCGTACAGTTGATGGCATAGTAATTGTGTGTTCAATCTTTGGCTCGGATAGTGCAGACTCAGATGTAGTGGAAAGAGGGCAAACCATAACTGTGCAGTACTAAAATATGGCCAAAACGAGTTATCCCTAGACATGGACAGTGGAAACCGAACAGTCTACACTAGTAAATCAAAATTTTTCATTTCGAAATTCCTTTGATTGTTACCCGGATCGACAGACGTCTGCAAACCACACAAAAAGCTACCGCCGAAATGTGGGAAAAAAAAAAAAAAAAAAAAAGAGATCACGATATTAGTCCGAATGTGAATTTATAAGTGATAATATTGTATAAACCTATAAGAGTGGTCACTTCACCAAATACAATAGACACATTTCCTTTGGGCAAATAGATGCTGTTCTCTTGCTAAAGAAAGGAGAAAAAGACAGAACGATCTTAAGACGATATATCTCGTTCTTGGCACTAAACAGTTTAAGGATAATGGTTTTTCTTCATTTCGCGAAGCGTAAGAACACGCACAACACTACGTCTACGCTTGCAGACATATGGTTCAACAGAAACATTTCCTACAATGCTATGAATTAGTTACCATAAAAGCCAAGTTATCTGATATGTGGAGGCGCGAAGTAGGGAGACTGTTATCGTCAACAAAAGACGGATACCGCAAACAGAGTTCGCGTTCCAGCCGAATCGACATGGGCTCAATTCTTCAAAAATTGCAGGCCCAGCAGTAGACACTTAACCTGAAATGACGACGTTTACTCGTTTTTAAATTAGAATCACATTATAAAACTGAAGATGTGACAGTGAAAAAAAAAAGTTTATATAAATCGCGGGGTTTGAAAACCAATGGGATATTTTCGAAGAAAAAAACTTCATCAGAAGTATTTCTCTTTTATGAGGAATCGAAAAATAGTTGAAGTTATTTTACAACAAATGTGAAGGGGAATATTCCTAAAGAAAGTCATTAGTCCCAGAGGTGATAGGTTCGCTAAGCAGTTAACCGATTCTTTTTACATATTTGGATTGAAAGACGGTGTGCTATTCAGCCAGGCATAGCAACTTATGGCCCAATAGACCTGACGAACCCAATCTTTCTCCATATTAAAAACCATCAGGTGGAACCTTCAACCCTGGCCATTGACTTCAGTCTGGAAAGCGCGCTGTCCTCCGATGCGGTGTCTTCACAGCACTGGCTGCATCCATAGCTATGGGACCCAGTCTATCCTATTGTCCTAAATGGCTGTTGAACCCTACAATAAGGTTCATCCGTCCATGGTCAGGTCTTGTTTTAATCCTGCTGGCTGTTTAGACACTTTCTTCCCCAAGAAGAGTAGAAACAGTTCAGTCGACGATAACCCGGTGATTCGGCAGGTAGTAATCGGTTACATGACACTAGTAACACTCGCAAAAGGAACTGACAAATGTGTATAAGTAATAAAGTGACAGTATTGTGTTAACATTTAAGACTGTCATATAGGAAGAAAATGAGTAACACCGAGGTTTGAGCGTGACACTCTGGACATATAAATATATATTTTCCGCCAGGTGTATGAATAGCGGTGTCAGGCTACTGACTGTAGTGATTATTGAGTGGAACTATTCGGTTGAATTAGTGTGAATTATTGCGTGTCGACGATTTGGATTTTGACTTAGTAGCTCGGCTTAACACCCGGTAAATTCTAACAAGGTATTCACTGAAATGATTAATTATCTTGGGTCGACTTTTACTTCTTTTGTTCTTTTTAAGTATTTATTTGTGGTTGTAATTAAATACTGTTTTATTTTAACAATGGAGTCTTGAGTTTCACTTAATCATTAACGACCAGCCTACGTCACAAAAGAGACAAAATTTCATACGATGGCAATCGTATAAGCGCCAGGGGTTTGGTATGAATCCATGCTGTAATTGAATTACAGATCAAAATGTTCGATATTTTTTATGAAGAGGTTTTTCATTGATTAAATGCAATTTTTCCTCAGAACGGGGGCGATGATGGCCCTTAGCAACTTCTTAGAATGTCAATGAAACGATTTCCTCTTACTTTGTACAGGTTTTTGAGGTTGAAGTTATTTTTCTCCAAAACGAGCTACCATCCAAAGATGGAAAAAAGATGACTGACCGGCAGTGAAGCTCGAAAATGTTTTAACACATCAATGTCCTCTGTAGAATTTCATATTAATTGTAGAATCTTTTAAAAATCCGGTAGGAATGAATAAGAAGAGAAAGAGGAGGATAAGGGGAAAGAAGAAAGAAAGAGGAGGAAAGAAGAGGAGGAAAGAAGAGGAGGAAAGAAGAGGAGGAAAGAAGAGGAGGAAAGAAGAGGAGGAAAGAAGAGGAGGAAAGAAGAGGAGGAAAGAAGAGGAGGGAAGAAGAGGAAGGAGGAGAAAAGAAGAGGAAGGAGGAGAAAGAAGAGGAAGGAGGAGAAAGAAGAGGAAGGAGGAGAAAGAAGAGGAAGGAGGAGAAAGAAGAAGAGGAGGAGAAAGAAGAAAAAGAATTCGGTAATAACAGTTGCAGTGCTGAACAATTTTCTATCAGAAGAGTCTTCAGGCATAAGAAATATGGTTCTACAGAATGATGCTCGGAATATCGTGGGGGCTACATGTGTGCAATCAAGAAATCTTGAGGAAAACGGAAACAAAAAGGATGTACATCGAGTTAGAAAGACTAAATTTTTAGGATATATTGAGGAAAGACACTTTGAGAATTAGAAACTCGCAGGATATATTGAAGGAAAGGGTCACAGAAGAAAACAACGAGTAACAGAGGTAACGAGATTGTACGACAAGGAGTGAAAGGGATAGTAAAAAGACAAAATTTGTTATGATCGAAAAGAGATAGGAAGTTTTGGATGGACACGATCGCCCACGTCCTGGAGGCGCCCGCACACATGGAACCCATTAATGCGTACAATCCCCAAAATAGGATTTTGTACATTAATGAGTTACATACATACTTTGGGGAGACAAAGTAGCCGAACAATAATCTTGCAAAATGGCCTGATCTAATTTTGATCTTTCGAGTAGATTCTGTTTCTAGAAAAACTTGATCACAAATTCTGAGGTTAATACCTGTTGGTAGGCCATTATTTCTCAAGAACTATCTAATGTGCCAACGAGATTCGTTATTCCAAATGCGTTTAAACAAATTGCGACCAATGGCTGCTCGTGTGATTTGAATCTATGCACGATTGAAGAGATTTACACGGATTTTTTTTTCTTTTATGGGTGATAAGAGGAAGTCATACAGGTATCGATTCAGATGGTTGTAACAAACTGAAGCAGTAAAATAAAATTCAACAAATAAAACATCATTTTATACCGTAATGACGACGATCAAACAACTCGGCCAAACCATGCATCTCAAAATTCTTAGCAGACTTGTGAAGTTAAAAAAAATCCTTACACCAAACCACACGACTGGCATATAAATGTTTGTGTTTTACCCCTTTATTCTAAACCTGCATTATACTAAATTTCTTGGTTTGCTTTGGTTTTCGGCCTATAAACCTCTGTATTACTTAATGCCGACAAGATATTATTGCCAGTAAACTCATTTTTTTTTTCAAAAATGTTTTCCTGGTAATATCTTTTTTTTTAAATACGTATGGTAAAGTTTTTTTTGCCAAAAATGCATTGCTGGCAAAATCTATTTTTCTCCAAAAATGTATTGCTGGCAATAATATTTTCCTTCAAAAATAAAAAGTATTGCAGGTTAACATTCTCATAGCTCGATACACGTTGTTTTTGCGTCACATGATTTCGCAAAGAGTGATGAACAGAAGTCCCGCCAATATGATCTAAAGAAGTAAAAAGACATATCGTTTTATATTATGCAATACCAGTTTCTGGGTATTGAATTTTTATTGGTAACTAGCATAAAGAATTTTAAGCTACATCCTGTAGAGGGATAATTGGGTCCATGAAACAAAACTAAAACTTGTCCAGCTTAGAAAACAGCAATGATAATTTTGAAGAAATAAGTATGAATTCCTCAATTCACTCCATGGAAGTTCAAAGTGACACTTTAACTCTGATTCGGGCTATAAGTCCAGGATTTGGGCTAAAATTCCAATTCAGGCCGAAAAATGAGTTCTTCAAATCACAATCTCTGTTGAACTTCAAAAATCTCATGTCACGACACCTCTCATTTTGACTTTGATTCATTGGCATTTTGAATAAAATAAAAATGATTTCTTCAATTCACAAAATTTGGGAGACACAAACAGAAATTTAAAACTAAAATTTAAACTCTCTATAAAACATTTAAGACCACTAAATTATTTTTCAGTTATTTTGAAATCTGAATTTTTAACTGTTCCCTCCTCATCCGGACTAAAATCCCAATGCTGGATTTCCAAGCACTAGAAGGGCAGATTTTCAATCCTGGGATCATTCCAAAAGTTTTATGTCTATGTAGAGCAATCGTGGCTTGAGTTAGACGGGTTTCAGACGGACGGACATACAGAATATAATTAAAATCCCAGTTTGTTTGTTTTTTTTGTCATGGTTATCCTCAGATGTCTATTGCATCCAGTAAGATTCTTACTCGTTCTAAAAAAAAAAAAATAAATAAAAAATAAAAAAAAATAATTCACCACATATTGAAATTGTTGTTTTATCCTTGCATTTTATATCCGTACTATTTCTAAGGAACGTTTAGAAAAAAAGGTTGGGAGGGGAATGGATAATATTAGCCTGAGCATACCGTAAGTTTGAAACTAAGGTAGCGGAATCAATTGATCTTCTAATCACATATATATAATATAATATAAAAGGCTTAAACACTAATATTCCATGGTTAGAATTTATTACATTCAAATCGAAATCCCGATCTAAGTCATCAGACCTACAAATTCAAAAAGAAATCGGAAAATTTTTCCGATTTTTTTTTTTTTTTTTTTTGAATTTGTAGGTCTGAATTTGATCAATTTGGATCAATAATTAAATTATCCAATGTAATAAAATTATATATATATATATATATATATATATATATATATATATATATATATATATATATATATATATATATATATATATAGACCAATGTATATATATATATATATATATAAACCAATGTTATATATATATATATATATAATATATATATATATATATATATATATATATATATATATATATAATATTATATATATATATATATATATATATATATATATATATATACAATGTTATATATATATATATATATATACCAATATATATATATATATATATATATATATAATAGTTATATATATATATATATATATATATATAATATATATATATATATTATATATATATATATATATATATATATAATATTATATATATATATATATATATATATATATATATAATATATATATATATATATATATATATATATATATATATATATATATATAGACCAATGTATATATATATATATATACCAATATATATATATATATATATATATACCAATATTATATATATATATATATATACCAATATTATATATATATATATATATATATAGACCAATGTTATATATATATATATATATAATATATATATATACCAATGATATATATATTATATATATATATACCAATATTATATATATATATATATATATAATATATATATATATATATATATATATATATATATATATATATATATATATATATATATATATATATATAT